TGTTGACATAAAATGTAGGTGAACAAATAAGTCTTTGGTTGCATAAAACCAAGTTCCACATTGTTACATTTCACATTTAAAGTTGTCACATGTACTTTCCTTTCTGTTAAACATGACAATGTACTGAAGCTGATTCATTTGTTTCCTTAAATCACGGTTGCTTATAAAACAGTATAATTACTGAAGTCATCACCTATGATTTTCTCAAATGCACCAAAGAGAGAGGTCTTGAATTGAAATCCCTTTCTTTTATCCTTTTTGGAGGTTTTAAATTTTTGTTTCCTTTTTTAAAAACTTTAAATGGGATATTTTCTTGTAGGCCTGAATGAAGCAACTTAGCAAAACAGTAATACTGACAAACAGCATCTTACACCATTAGCTAAACATTAAAATGATGGCAGTGTACATTTACAGTATGTGAAACACCAGGAGACTTCAGAGGAGATTTATGTGAGTCCAATTTCTTCAAGTACACTACGTGGGGTCTCTGCTTCCTGTGGAGGGAAAATTTGAGACAGTGGTAAACAGATCCTGTGCTCCTAGCAAACAAGCTCATATGTGGAAAGTTAATATGGAAAGTGCATAATTAAAAAAAATTGTAAGAGAAAATGTGAGAGTTTATATGTCTGACATCAGATGCATTTCTAAAAGGATTATTTTAATAAGTTTGCCATGGTTTATAGGGATGGCTTGTAAGCTTTGTGACCCCTGAACACTAAAAAGAAAATAAATTAACACACCTTCCATCATGGAACAAGTCACAACTTAGTAAAACAACATGAATTTTTTTAAAATCTGTAATGGATTCAATATTATTTCATTTTGTGATATTTTATGGAGAGCACCAAAAAACCCACAAGTAAAAATGAAATGGCTGATGTACTGTACAGATACAATATCCTTTAAATCCTTTAAAATTCCTAAGTTTTGGAAACAACAGGTCCTAGTCATGCAAAATCAAGAGTATTAATTTGCAAAATAGCCCTCCCAGCTAGAGACACTATTGTATACTGGACAAAAACTACTTGAGAAGGATGAAATGGCCAATCTTGAAGTGAAGGGAAGCCCAAGATTTGGGGCTGTAGTATTCTAGGCCAGGTATAAACTTCTGGAACCAGTTCTTTCCTAAAGGTACTGCACTAAATTTTCAATGAAGACCTTTTCCCTGTACCAAATAAAGCAAATAAGTGTTTAATATATTTATATATACAGTAGCTCCTCACTTAACATTGTAGTTATGTAGGGTTACCATTCGTCCGGATTCCCCCGGACATGTCCGGCTTTTTAAGCTAAAAATAGCGTCCGGGGGGAATTTGTAAATGTCCGGACTTCCCCCTGATGCAGAGCAGTGATGCCGGCCGGCCGGTGTCACTTACATGGGGCTCCGACACTCAGCCAGAGAGGGCTCCTCCTCCCTCCCTCGCTCCCTCCCTGCATGGCAGATCGGCTCCGGCAGTCTGGAGCTCCTCCCCCACTGTTGCCCAGCATGCCGGACGAGCGGCTCATGCAGTTCCTGAGCAAGCTCAGGGAGACATTAGGTGAAGAAAGGCCAACAACAAGGGGGCCGGGGGTCGGAGAAGGGGCAGGGAGG